CGGTTTTGCTGGTGTAAGGACGATGGGTAGAGTAGGTGTAGGATAGCTATATATAGGGGCAAGGCATGGGTATGGCCCCTATCGGTAGTGCGACAACATCTTCTGATCTGTCCTCCTGAAGAGTCTATGTGCGGGATAAGACGAAACGCGTCGAGGGTTGGCCGCGTGGTCTGTGGATCGTGATTTGCTGTTCTCAGTTGTGTTACTACTTTTGCGTGCGCATCAGAGTGGTTTTACATTGGTGTATCTTTGTCTTGCTCCATCTCACGCTGGATCTGTCTTGCCGGGCAGTTTTCCCTTTCCGATTACCGTGACAACCTCTAGTGAGATTACACACTACGTTGGTGGCCATGTCTACGTTTAGCGGCTTAGGTCTTTGATGGTGGTTAGTTACGAGATTTACGAGTGTTGGGTGGTCGATAATCTAGGGTTTTACGTAGTTTTTGTGCATCGAGCGGTTATCTTCACGGTTCGTTTATGTGGGGTATGCCGTTCGAGCTACGTAATGGAACGTGTCCTGTTCCGTTGTCTCTTCCTTATCTCTGAGGTGGATGTTATGATTCGGATAATTGTTATCTTTGATGATGTGTCCAACTCTATTAGAGTGGTGTTTCGCCAGGATTAGATCCACCTGAGTACTGTGTATTTGTTTGTTTCGGTCTTGTTGTCCTTTGGATTCGATTCCGTTGTTTTTAGCGGTATTTTGTAATCTTCATCCCTCAGCTTTCACTTGTTTTGCGGTAGCTATGGCTACATCCAACAAGTGCTTCAATTGCGGTGGGGAAGGACACTTTGCGAGGGAGTGTCCTTCGGCCCGGAGTGCCCCTTCGACGCAAGGTAACAGTTCCACTGGTGGCCACGTGGCACCGCGTTCCGGGCACCGCGACGGCAGCCTGATGATAGTAATGAAGAGCGTGAGTTTTTGCGACAACTAATTAGTGAAAAGAGGGAGGAGCATTTACGGAGTTAGAAGAAAGGAGAAGGTCTGATGAGATGATTAAGCAAGAAATCGAGAGGAATTCTGAAGCTTTAGAGACTCGTGTCATGTCTAAGATAGGACGGCAGTATCTCGCGGCTAAGGAAGAGGTGAGGGTGGAGGAATCACGGGTTTCGCTTTTCCGTACGCCACGTAGTGCTCCAAGAGATAGGGGTATTTCGGATTATGCTGACAAGGGTCTGGAAGAAATTGAGGATGAGATTGCCAAGTTATATGAAATCCGGGAGAGAAAAACGCAAGGGTAAGGAGCAATTGGAGGGGGAGGGCAGGCGGCCTTTTAGGCAACCGGTTTTCCGACGCGAAGGATCGGTGGTCGACTCCCCGCTGCCAGGGGAGTCATCAAGGATGGGGGAAGCAAGGGGCCGGACGAAGATCGCTGCAGGAAGTGACCCAGACGGTTTTTTGGCGTATGTACTGGCCCAGAGGCGACTCCTCACGCCCAAGATGAAGGACCAACTCAAGGCCATATGTGCACAAGAAGGGCTCTCTTATACGACCAAGGGGCCCACGATTGAGGCTATCATTGAGGCTAGAACCAAGTTGACCTATGAGGGATTCATCTTCACGCCTTCTCCTTCACCTGCTGACATTCCGGAGGAGGAGTGTACCCCTTCTGGATGACTGGCGAGACAATCTCGCTTTCGCTTATGGACTAACCTGTTGGAGTGCACGAGTGACAGGTGCAGGGCATGGGAATTTGGTTTGTCTCCTCGGCTGCGACAGCTGTATGATTCGTGTCTGACTCTTTGCTTTGTGGCGCTTGTTCTTTTGGGTGAGATCCTCTGGGTTATTAAGTTTAAATCGCTCTTACTCTCGATGGATTGGAATGCTTGGCAATATGGTCCTGTCGTCTATCTCCTCACTTCTCCCTGGTGTAAGGCGCAGCATATAGGTTGCTCCGTTCGAGGAATCTACGTTAGATGGGGTGAACACGTGAGAACTGTCAAATCGGTGGGTCTCGGGGTGTCTCATAAACTTTACCGATTGCTGCGATCGTTTGGTATATGGAAGTATGTGGCTGTTCAGTTGTTTAACAGTGTTCATTCGGTCCTGGCGGCGAAAAAGGTGTTGATTAAGAACTTTTCTCCTGTACTCAATTATAGGAAGAAGAGGTTATCATCTAGTGAGAGGTTAGCTAGGCCAGCTAGGTTGAAACGATTGGGATCTGGACCGGTGGACGTGTTGCGCGGAATTCTCAAGTTTCGTAGGATCGGTGGAGTTTGGTCCGACAGTATTCTGACTATCCTTCGGGGGGCTTGCCTAGGTAATGAAAACAACTTTGCCATCGAGGTTGCTCCAGGGAATCTTTGGGCTGACGGTTGGTCCGTCGTCAGACGCTGTTTTGGACTCACTAACGTATTCCTTGCACATTCTTGTTTTGTTCTCAAAGATCTTAAGAGCGATTTACAAGCTGGAGGTACTTTCCATTTTGGTTAGGTGGTCTTTACGCCGGGGGGTAGGGCTATTTGCAAAGGGCAGTTGGCTTTGTTGTTACGACAGCCTTGGAGGAGACGACTCCTCAAATTCAAATCCATCGATGCGTTGGTGCGATAGTATCGTGCGATCCGCAGTTTTTCGGGATCGGCTACCCGTTCTTCACTTCGGGGTGTCTTAGCACGAGCTCTTAAAGGTAAGATTGGTATCGATGTTCGATGAAGGATCTTGGTACGGATGTTTTATGACCACCGACTGAGTTCATCTAAGGTTCATGCTATTGTCCTGCGAATTGCATTTGGGTCTACTTTTCCTAAATCAGTGCAGGGGCTGTTAATCAGAAAGGTTAGATTCGTATGGCGAAAAAACACGCCAGTTTCTGGACACTTGTGGAATTTTAATTTTTAACCAGGCAGCTAAAGGGGATGAACGTTTTGTCTGTTGTTGCAATTTCGAACTTGACTGGGAACGATCGGGTTCTCATGTCATGACCCAAATTGGAAAAATCTCAAGCCTTCCTGAGGTGCTCCGAAATTTGAGGAACATTCCCCCGGTTCGCCCAACTCACGGTATGTTCAACCTTGGTAAGCAGTTGGTGGCAGTCTGTAGTTACCTTCGTTCGAACTTTGTGTTGGACCGTCTACACCTCCTTGATTGTTGGGCGGTAGAAGATGATGATGCTGTGGCTAATCCCTCGGTCGATGTTGGATTGTTGTCTACGTGGTTGCACAGATTGCGACGTTTTGTCTGTGTTCCTATTGATCGTAATACAGCAGACACGCTGGTTATATACCCACAACTTTACCTGCACTTTCTCCGTTTGACTTTCAATTGAAATTTGTCGTTTGTACCGGTTGATGGGGATTCACTCTCAGTACTTTCTGTCATGCGTTCGGAGTTTGAACGCCTACGGTTACATACGTTGGGG